TGAATGACCATCTAATTTGGCTTTTTATTATCCTTTCTTAACATCCCATAAACGGATAGACTTATCATCACTACCAGATGCTAATGTAGTACCATCAGGAGAGTAGCAAATTGTTCTTACATAATCTGAATGACCATCTAATTTGGCTTTTTATTATCCTGTCTTAACATACCATAAACGAATAGATTTATCATCACTACCAGATGCTAATGTAGTACCATCAGGAGAGCAACAAATTGATAAAACTGTTTTAGAATGACCATCTAATTTGGCTTTTTATTATCCTGTCTTAACATCCCATAAACGAATAGACTTATCCCAACTACCAGATGCTAATGTAGTACCATCAGGAGAGCAACAAATTGAATTAACTATACTTGAATGACCATTAAATTTGGCTTTCTATTATCCTGTTTTAACATCCCATAAACGGATAGAAAAATCTCCATTACAATATTCATACCCACCACCAGATGCTAATGAAGTACCATTAGAAGAGTAACAAATTGTGTTTACAGAACCTAAATGACCATCAAATTTGGCTTTTTATTATCCTGTCGAAACATCCCATAAACGAATAGAGCTATCACCATCACCAGATGCTAATGTAGTACCATCAGGTGAGTAACAAATTGATAAAACTGTTTTAGAATGACCATCTAATTTGGCTTTTTATTATCCTGTCTTAACATCCCATAAACGGATAGAGTTATCTTCACTACCAGATGCTAATATAGTACTATCAGGAGAGTAACAAATTGTTCTTACTTAACCTAAATGACCATCAAATTTGACTTTTTATTATCCTGTCGAAACATCCCATAAACGGATAGAGTTATCACCACTACCAGATGCTAATGTAGTACCATCAGGAGAGTAACAAATTGAATTAACTCTTAATGAATGACCATCAAATTTGGCTTTTTATTATCCTGTCTTAACATCCCATAAACGGATAGAGTTATCTGCACTACCAGATGCTAATGTAGTACCATTAGGAGAGTAACAAATTGTTCTTACGTAATCTGAATGACCATCTAATTTGGCTTTTTATTATCCTGTCTTAACATCCCATAAACGGATAGAGTTATCATTACTACCAGATGCTAATGTAGTGCCATCAGGAGAGAAACAGACCGACATAACATAATCTGAATGACCATCTAATTGATTTAGCTCATGTATTTAGATATTTTGCCATTTACAATTGAACAATTAAGCTTAATTCAAGTTCATTCCACTTATATCCACATTATCAAATTCTGATCCATTGAAATTGCACCTTGCAAAATTTCCCCCAACCAAAGAAGTATTTCTAATCTTTATATTCTCAAAGTTTTCTTCTCTCAAATCCACTTTCATTTCAACTAATAAATTGAATGCATTCGATCCACATTAGACAAATCTCTAGTCAATGGCTGTCAGACGAACAAGAAATTTCAAAAATTCAATTATGTACTAATCAAAAGATATTTATTTTATTAAGCCCCTCCTAATTTAATCATAGTTATCAGTTGAATAATTCTTCTTATTAAAGTCTATTTCGCTAACATTTTAAATCATCGAAGCGATAAATTTCAAATCAGTTTATTTTTTAAAGAACTCTAAACAATTAGTAATTTTCTTATTTCTCAGCATCTAAAGCAGTTCATTAAGGCAGGATCCATCAAAATGCTTAGTCTAAGTTAATACTTAATAGAAATCATCCTTTCTGTTATAAACTTACTTTATTTCTTTTAAAGTTAATTGTATCGGTGAATGTGAAGAATATTCTTAGTTAATTTCTCTTTCTTGATTTTGAATTAATTAATTTAAAGATTACATCACATCCTTGCATTTCTTGATTTCAGGA